GTGTGAAAAACAGTCATAAGTCACTTTTTCAGTGCCATTGTAACTTTGAAAGATCACTCCACACAAGCAAAGTACCAGCAAAGGAGGAAAAAAAAAATACTCCAGAGATGTTCCTGAGACAGGAAGTCTAGTCCTGCCAAGAATGGAATAAGGGTTAATGGAGGGGCAGTTTCTGTAAGCAACACCAGAATGTTTCCTTCCTGCCTTCCTTACAGGATTAGGCCAGTAATTTCTTCAAACAACTAGTTCTCCAAACTTCTTAGAATGTTAACAACCAGTTCTAGTGAATAGGTGCGAACTGGTAGAAATCCCACCCCTGGTATTAACAAGGAAAACCTAATAGCATCTGCAGAATATAACTTCTGTTGCAATTCCCCAATGAGATATTGGGGGATTCCCTGCCTACTCTTCCCCTCACCCCCAATTGTCTTCTAATTGTGGGTATATGTGACTGATTCAGTCCTGGGTACTTAATCAGTCACATTGTTAATTTATTTTGTTTTGAATTTGAAGTGTGGTATTTTTCTACCATGTCCTGCAGTTTTTGAAATGATCTTAGTTATTAAATAAAATACAGTCTATGTTAAAATGGGCACTTGTCCAGAATTGTAAGTACTTTTATATTATTCAAATAACTTGGCACGTATTGGTTGCATATAATTTAATGGCAGCAAGTTTCTGACACCTGAAATACAACCTTTAAACCATCTCAGATGCACATTTATGAGTACATACGTGCTTTCCGACCATAATAAATATTTAGCACTGTAGAAGTTTGGATTGTTTTACTTTCAACATTCTACATCTGCATAATATCAGAAGTCAAAATAGTATTTATATCTTATTTTTGGCATCAGATTTAAGTGAAGCATTTTTTTTTTTAAAAAAAACAACCTGGTACATGCATTGCTTTGAGTGGTTTAGAAGCACTGACCGGTGTGAAAACAAACATGATCCAACTTTGAAATTCTGCTACTCTAACAAAGTGGTAACAGTAACACCACACATATCTCATTTAGAAGATAAATTACACCATTGTATTATTTTATATTCTTAGCACAGAGCAAATTTATTACTTACCATAAGATTAATGCATGTATGCTTTTGAAAAGATAGGAGTGTTATATCACTGAGGGAAGAATGGAGGCTGAAAGAGCTGCTGGTACAATTTTCTTGTTAGCTAATTGTTTGTTTGATATTTGTATGCTTTAATTTACATTATGTTACTTAATATTAGACTGATTGTTAATAGTTTGGGTTATGTACATTCTCTTCTCAAAACATAAATTTAACTCCATACCCAAATAATAAAAAAAACCCAAAGAAGTCAAATTCTGCAGCCTGTTATTTCATGCAAATTTACAAAATGTCTGTTTTTATTTATTTTGGTTTTATCAGAAGAGTAGTCACACTGACATTCAGAACACTAGTCATCCATTATTAAAATGGGCCTTGTTTCTGACATCCAGCAGCCATTACTTATGCCCTTTGCCTGAACATCTTCACAGCCAAAATAGATAGCATTTTCATTTTAAATGCAAAATAAAAACTGAAATAAGGTTAGGATTAGGGCTGTGTTTTTCTATAATACCGGTAACCCTCGACTTACAACCCCAACCTTCATATAAATTAACAGTTGCCTCACTTTCAAATTCTTTAGAACTTTTGTTTTAGACAAACTCTCAAAACCGATCAAGTGCCAAACATACAGGCAGTCCTCAAGTTAATGACCACCATTGAGTCCAAAATTCATGTTGCTAAGTGAGAAATTTGTTAAGTGAGTTTTGCCTCATTTTACAAGGTTTTTGCCAGATTTGTTAATCACTGCTGTTGTTAAATAAGTAACATGGTTGTTAAGTGAATCTGGCTTCCCCAGAAGGTTGCAAAAGGTGATCACATGACCCAGGGAAACCAAAACTATCTTGCGGTCATATAAGGCAATTGCCAAGCATCCAAATTTCAATGACATTAGTGATGCTGCAGGTGTGATGTTGTAAGTGTGAAAAATGATCATAAGTCACTTTTTCTCAGTGCTGTTGTAATTTCAAACTGATACTAAACAAATGGTTGTAAGTTGAGGACTATCTGTACATAGTAGACCTCACTACATTTAGATGAATAAAAGATGTTTTGTCATAGCCTTCACCTGGAGTGCAATTTTGAAGTCTAGTTGAAAAGTGCTTTTTCAAAAATGGAAAGAAATGTGACAAGGAAAAACAAAACAAAACAACCACTTCATAAATTCATGGCACAACATAGGAGAACAAACCCATCAGGACTAGATTCAGCAGTCCATCTGCACTTAAAAGACAAAGGCCGCTCTTTTGAAGACAGCAAAGTCCATATTTTGGATAGAGACGACCGACCGCTGGTTTGAAAGAGGTGTCAAAGAGCCCACCTATGTCAAAATTGAACAGCCCTGTTTCAACGGAGGGGGAGGGATAAGACATAATCTATGTCCAATCTACCACACAGTCCTTTCAACAGTTCCAAGAAGGCTCCACACCCATTTGCACCACTCAGATGACCCTGATGACATAGATAAATCTCCAGGTAGCCTTAACAACTCTCTAAAAGTATGCAAATGACCAGCTGTTTGCAAGGAGTATAAATTCTTCCATTCCTCACCATCCAGTCACAGCTGAATAAGTTTCTTGGATGAGAAGTGAAATGTCTTCAAAGAAAATTCAGAAAGTCCAGTTGCCTTTTGAAAAAGCACCTTTGGGACAACCATGACCTGGATAACTGAGAATCTCCATAGACAGACAAAGAAAAAAGCATAATATGATATCTCGTTATAACAATAAACAGTTACAATTCTATATACGTGTGTGTGTGTGTGTGTGTGTGTGTAATGGAAATATTATTCAAGTATAAATATTTCTAACGCATTCTTAAGATGCATTTTAACTTATTGTATTCTGTATAAATGAGTCCAATATTTCACTATACTTTTCTATATCAAATCAGTGGCTATGTAGATGAGTTAAATGTTGCCACTTGCTCTGCCATAATAACATAACCACTACACAAATCTAAACAAAATGTACATTAGAAGTTGCCCATTAATGAATGAACGTGATACCATTGCCAAGGCAACACTAATGGGAATTTGGAGTCTTCTGAAATTGAAAAGTTCTCAAACTGTACCAGGCTAGAATTAGCATGAGCAACAGACAACCCTGGTTATCTCTGAGAGTGTTAGGTAACTGGATCTGGCAGCAATTTAATTTCACAGAATATGCTCAACCTAGTAACTGATTTCAAACATTGTGAAAAATATAAAAGACCTCTAGACTCAACTGCTCAGTGTTTGTATCACTATCACCATAGATTGTAGGTCTTCTTGTGCTCACTGACAGGAGAAAAGGCTAGTAAGGACACCAGCCTGATCTTGGTTGTTTCTTTCAAGGAAATCTCCAAATGCTCTAGTTGATAGGAGGCCAGTCTCTAGCTCCCTTTCACAGTAGCTTTGTTTCTCTCATTTTCCTTGACCAGGGCATGGTTTAGTCCTAGAAGCTACGGGAAAAATTGCACGGTAAATGATAAACAGTGCAACAATAAAATCCTCATTAGCCATGCTATAATTAAATAAACACTCTCTTTATGATTCTGCAAAGGGACAAAAAGCTTTCCTCTGTTCTTAATTTCTTAATGTCTCTGCAGGTTTTTTTTTAGACTACAAACAAGTATACAAAACAAACAACCAAAGACAGAACAACCCCTTCCTCCCACAAGTCAACTGTTTTCCATTTGAATGCTTTCAAATGTTTAAATTATTGCAAGTTCTAGAAAGTGAGGATAAAGCCTTATTTTTTTAATTGCCACTAAACTGGGCTATTTGAAATGCAATAAACAAAACTCCAGATTTGTAAATGGTCTTACTTTTGATTTTCGCCCAGCAAAATATGGTGGCAAGCTCATGTTCAACTTATGGAATCACAGAAAATTAGTGCAAACTTAATGAAAAAATGATGTGTGGGTAATTATTTTGGCTTCAAAAAGAAAACACATCCTGTACATAGCATCTGTAAGCGATTGTTGCTCTCTTGCAATGAAAGAACAGCAGATGACATAGCTATTGCTTTTTTATCATCACTATAACTCTTAGGTCTAATTTTTACAGATTCTGCCAGGCTCCAAAATCCTGAGACCACATGATGAAGTTTCAGCTTTTGTAGGAATCACTCTGTGCCAAGAGGTTTCTTTCCACAAGTAATCCTAAGATTTTAGAATAGAATGCACTATTCAGGCTTAGTTCAGTATGAAATTAAAAACAGGATCTGCCCATTACAAAAGAAGGAAAAGCTGCAGCCTGTACGCAATAACTTGTTTAAGTTGCTTAAGTTTAACAGTTTAAAATTGGGAGTAAGAATAGCACACAATCACAATAAGATTCACCTATTAAAGATGTATAAATCTATTAGGAATCTCCAAATTAAACAACGAACATTTTTAATATACATTACCAGCTTCCTATTTTTTGACATTCAGTTTTTCATAAATAAGATTGTTTTCACTATTAATTTTTAAATTTTTATTTTAATTTCCAATTGTATTGATTGAGGTGTGTTAAAAAAAGGTGAGCATATAAACCCTAAACAAACTCATAAATAAACAATCTAGCTCTTGTTTAAAACATTCCAGAATAATTATCTTTAAATTAGAGCTCCTGTTTTATAACAAAAAGTGCCTCTCAGAAATCTTCCAAGCAGGATCCCTTTCTGCTCTTTTACTTCAATTTACTTTAAAGAATTCTATTGCCAGTGAGGTGGTGTTTGTGCAGGTAAATACATTACTCATCCTTTGACTACATGCAGACAGGACCAACCTCATTTTACTCTCTGCATTAGAAAAATAACAACCATACTAATAATTTTATTCAGGGAAAAGGAAACTTTAAACAACATTTTAGTTATTGAACTCAAAAGCAAGAGTTCATACATAAGGGAGAAGCAGTTACCTTAAAGACACAATATATATTTACACACAATACATACCTAAGCCATCAAGCCCACCCTGCTCCCTTGCAAGTAGCCACAGCAACAAATGTTTCTGCAAAAGATGCAGTTACTTAATCTTGATTTGAACTTTTAGTCTTGCCTTATCCAGTTCACTCTTCTCTTCTTGGCTTTTCAAACCTTGGCCTCTTTCACCTGCCAACCGCACAAGTCAATTCCTCTGGTTAAGTTATGTGTAGGTAAATTACTTTATGACATAGGTTAATTTCACTTATATAGCCTTGCAGTGTTTTATAATAACTTTATGTCTGTTCACTTCGGCTACTTGTGGAACAAGTTGCCATCAGGTTCCAGTACTGTGATACAATGATTTGCCTTAAAGAGGACAGATTAGGTACTACTAAATAGAAGCCCTTTATTTCCCTTCACATCTATACTCTAGTCTAAATCATTGTATTGTTTCAAAGAAAATGACAAAACCAAGTTGACTGATTTGAAATATTGACACATCAGAAATTGTGCCATTCATGTGATCTGTTGTTTTTGGATACCATTGTCTGAATCCTTTTTTGATCCACCAAGACTAAATTTATGCAGGTACAGGAGTTCTAACAAAAGTTCAATTAATTTTACCTCAAGCATAAAGCAAAATAAAGTCTCATTTGAGTCAAGCTTGACTGTTCATTTTCATAGTTAGGTCTCTCTGTGTGTAGCCATTTGCTATTGCCTTTTATGAAGATATTCTTTTGACTTCTAGCCTAATCTACAGCCCCTGTCTTCCAGGAAAGCCTCTCACCCAACGCATATCCAGGACCCAATCCTGCTTAGCTTCCATGCCTACCCAAGTACTACTATCTGCTGAGGCAATGACAAATAAACCAGTGCATTTTGCAAATGTATTTTTTAAAGGAGGCACTCTATTTTCTTTACCAAATTCCTTCCAACTGGCAATACATATACTGGTCCCCACCCCTGGTTTTTGACCCCTTATGCTGATAGTTGAACCTGACAAGAAAGAAAATATGTAAGCAATTTATAGCATCAAAGCATCTCAGCCAATTGCTGGGAAGGTGCACTGGTAATTATAATTGACATATATATTATAGGTATAAATGCATGTAGGCAGATGTATCCTACTTTCAACTATAGATTTTACAGGATTGTGATCTTGGAATGTCTCCATTCTTCATGGGACTAGGCACATGGTTCTGAGTGTGTAAATGTAGCATTTTGTTTTAAAAAACAGCCCCGGAAATTAATGATTTATGCAAGGGTGCTGATTTGTTCATTTGTAAAATTCATTTAAGGAAGGCTTGTTTTTGAAGATATTATCTTTGCAGTAATTAGAAGGCTTGGGGAATTCTATACCATCATGTATGGTTTTTAAAGGAGAGAGCTGCAAAGAAATCGGAGATTTTAATTTGCCTATGTGTGTGCATTCATCTTTCATATGCTACACTTTTCACAGTAAAAATATAAGGCATGAATAACAAGTCATTACGTACAATTAACCAGTTCAGCAGTTAGCACTTCTGTTTTCATACTCTGTTCTCCTATATTACCAGAAGAATTAAATTAAATTTCTATATCATAATTTCAGCTTAGACACCACCACCCCCCCAAAAAAATCTGGGCATTTTCATCAATAATAACAAAAATAACACTTCTGAAGCCTGTTCAGAACTACACAGCACATACATGTACACACACTCAAACATACACCCACAGACACAGGGGCACCTAGAACAAATGAAGCTTTTTCTCCCTCCTTTCTTGCCACTACAATTTTTTTAAAAAATTTCAAACTTTCAAACTTTCAAAGCTGTCCTGCTTCTTGCTTCTAGCCCTGATAAGGAATCTCTTCAGTGAAGAATTTGCTAGATATCTGTCAGATTGAACTATGCCTTTTTTTTGAGGAAAATTATGATATTCTAGTTGACATGGGAGGAATGGGTGATTGATTTCAGACTTTTCTTTAGTACTGATACAAATATATCATAAAATAACCTCTTATTGTAAAACATCAAAATATAAAACATATACAGATTAAACTATCAAAATGTCATTAAAATTATATAACAAAAATATTATTCTAAGTTTAAACATAAGTACAAATGCATGTCTATTAATATGAACAAAATAGATATTTCTATAATTATAACAAATCTAATAATCAAATCCTAAAATTAACATAAAAGTCAAATTTAATACTTTAAGAACTCAATGTTTCATTTCATGTAATTTTCATTTAAAATGTCAATAACAATGTATTTCTTGAAATGCATTTTGGAAAAGGTTTAAAAGACAGTTTTCTTATAAAAGTATACTAATTCCTGCTACTATGTCAGGACTTTTGAATTTTGTTTTCATTTTTTTGGAAGCCAGAATGATTTGGCAGCATATACATTTATTGATTATTAAAAAATCTGTTCAGGGTTTTGGAGTGGCTATTTAAAACTTACAGATGATTTACATGAGTTCTTACTATGTAATATTTGCACATTTCTAACTTGCTCTGAGAACCAAATTTGGGACTCCAGAAATAGCTGTTCCTTGAAATACCCATTTTGATCCATTTCTACTAACACTATCCAGGATGGTGCAGTTATGCAGAACTATGGAATGACACATTTGGAGCAAAAGTTGGTTGAGAGATTTGAATCGGCACAAAGTGAAGTGACATAGCTCTTAGTAACGATTTATCCAACTTAATATCTGAAATTTTTGTAAGGGAATTTCTATTCCTTTCTCAAGTAAGCTCTAGGAATTCAGTAGCTATGATTTTGCATGGTATAGTATTTTTTTTGTTTCACCTTCCTACCTGAACTTTCTAGTTCTCTTGGGCACAGTTATCCTTTAGATGTTACACTTATTCATATTTAGCTATGTACTCCTTGGGTAAAAAAAAGTCAAAATACATATAAAATGTACATTTTAAAATAAAAGTATTGAAATGCATATTTTGAAGGAAATTGATAAAACCAATGTATTATGCATAAAGTATTAAAATCAGTTCCTAAATTTGGATGTATTTTGAATACATTTTGTGTTTGTTTGTATGTCATAGACAAACACAGAAGCATGGAACACTGAACCAAAACAGAAGGCCAAAAATAGACGGCTCTGTCTGTATTCCTGTCGCTACTTTGTGGAGCGTCTCTCCTATCCAAACTGGTTTCTCATTAAAAGTACTGTGTGGTGCTTTTGCAGCATAGAATGCATATTCTAAGGGTATGGCAGCATTCCAGATTTCATAGGATTATTTACTTTTCTCCATCTGATATCAGATGCAAGGCTGTTGATTCAGAAGAGAAAATCTAACATGAACATGCTTTCCTTCCAGCTCACAAGACAAGTACTTTTTGAAGCAGAAAAATTCTAATTTTGGACACTCCAAAGGAGGTTGTTTTGGAAATGGGTGTTGAACAGAAAAGGAAAGGAATGGGTGATGAACAGAAAACCTAGGTACCAAGTGATCTGGTCCATTCCTGATACCACTATAAATCTCATTCAGGTATATATTTATATCATTAATGCGGCTAGCCTAAATCATTATGTAATTATGTACAAATAAACAATCTTGCTTTTTATTCTCTTTTCTACTGTGCTAGTCTGAATTTAGCAGGTTATTGATCTTCTTGCAGTGGTCTATGAAAAGTTTTTGTTTGTCTTGCTTGTTATACTAACTAGCTCCAGTGAAGGCAGGCCAAGATATTATTCTCAGTTATTTAAGTAATAATTCAAATTAACATATGGGCAGCTTCCAAGGTTCAATTGAGAAAGTAGATGAGAACCCCCCCCCCAAAATAGATAAGGATCAAATAACATGATGAATAGCATAGCCAATATATTTAAAGAGGATCATAACATTTTGATTCTTAGTTATTTTATTAAATAGTTCTAAAGAAACAACAGGTAAAATGAATGTGCCTCATAATTTCAGAAGAAATATCTTCTTGTAAAGATTTATTGCTGTGAGTGAACTTCATTCAACCAACAGAATTTTATAAATGCCCCAAGAACAAATGTAATTACTGAAAAATAAGTCTCTTTAATGAATATTATTAAAACTATTAATAAAGAGGCTAAGCAGATGCAAAAAGAATATTTTCCTAAATAAGAAATAATTTTACTAGAACCAAATATTAGATTCAATGTAAGAGATATACATAGATTTAGATAATAGGTTGTCAATAAATATTAAGAATTTAGCAACTATATAATCCAATTAAAAATAGTACAAAGACTATATAACATTTTGTTTTTAATATAGAAAAGAGGTTATATTGTTTAGAGTGACACTATTCATAATATAATTTTAATAAATCTGGAATAAGGGGCAAAAATAGATGAAGTTTATTTCTTTGTAGTATGGTAATACACACACACAAGTTATACTTTATCTATAGAGCTTCCATTTTAGAGTTCTAATTTATTATTCTTGGTAAGAATTGTGTATATATTTACAGATGTAAATAGTTGAGACTAGAAAAAAGAATTCAAAATATATGCAGGTCTATAATAACCTGCTCACAAATAAACAGCTTGTCTATTGGGAGAAAATGAGGGCATTAGCCAAAGTATTCATTTAATTTTTAAATTTGTGTTTTAGCTGTAATAAACAGTAAAGGAAAGACTGCTACATTAGGTTGAATACTGTTCATAAAACAGGAAGCCCTGCATTATTTAAAATAGTTCGATATTGTAATAAACTAAAATATGTATTTTTTATCCTAAAATAATGTAATGTATGGAATTGACTTTAATTAGCCAGATTTCCTTCCATCGAGTGTAATTTATTATAATAAAGAATTAAAAAGAACAATCTTATTAGAGAACATGGGTTTGTGAATAAAAAGCTTTAATCAAAGAAAAAAGATAAGGAAATTGAAATATATACATACAAGACTAAAGATGTTCAATTTTTTAGTTCCAGACTTAATTTCTTTTTTAAATAAACAGTAAAAGGGTGATTACAACTTTGATTTAGGAAAGTTACAAATAATCTAAGGCTCCAGATAAATTTGAAATAATATTTTGGAATTAATTATAAATATTCCCTGCTGTGGGAAAATTCTTTTGTTTTGAATTCTCTTTAAAAAAGTCACAATAAGATGAGACTTTGAAGATTGGCTACAAGAGAGAACCTGAAGGAAGCAAAAATTGCAATTAAAGGAGAAGAACAATTACATTTTATTTGTGTATACAGAATGGAGCAAATTATTTTAACACTGGATATATTGAAGGATATTTTTGAACAGTGGTCCCAGAA